GTTTCAGAGAGTTTGGTTCTAAAAGCAATGAGGGGGCGGGCGTTGACGTGGTGCAAGTCTACGCCTTTTCTGTTTGCTAGTGCAGGCCCTTTTTCGTTATTTGAAGTTCCAAACGTGTTAGCTGTTACAGTACAGTTCACTGTTAACCTTTTACCCTTGTGGTAAAAGCTCAGAATGCAATAACACCTGTCCCACCGAACAGCATACTTTGGAACAACTGGGGGACCGTTGACTGGGCTGGCAATAATATTTTTTGCGTACTATGTTTTTGTAAGTGATCCATTTTTCATCGCCTGTTACCAATCTATGAAAGAGGAGTGAAGAGCAAATTGAGATAAGATACGTCAAATTCCTTTCGCTGAGTTCTTGTGGGATCCAGGTACAACATGAACAAACCCAAGTCTTGGGATATGGTTTCTAATAGTTGTACGCGAAACATTGAACATCTCTCCTAGTTTTTGAGTCGCCAAAAAGGGATTTTCTTCTAGCCTAGGCCTCAATATCAGTCAAGTCAACCTCAGAAGGACTTCCACTTCGCGCATCATCTTCAAGAACAAAATTCCTTTTTTCTAAAAGGAACAACCACCGATGGACTTTACGAACATTTAGTATCAAAATATTGCACACAAATTTGCAGTTGCAACTGTTGCAATATTCTTTTTTTTTGGAATTCATAAAGTAAACTATACTTACATGCGTTTCATCCAAAGACATAATTAGCTATTAAATTATCGACACAATTCAAGAAATTTAAAACAGAAACTGAGGAGAAATCTTTAAATTAAATTAAAAAGACTTTCAATTTAGGTATTAAACAAGCGTACATGTAATAGAAAATAATATATACAAAAAATGTAAATATTGTGCTAATTAATCCTATAACTGAAAAACGTCGTTACTTTCTTGCCAAACCAACACTTATTATCAATGTTTAATTTTTGGAAAATTTTTATTTTGGTTTTTATTCCGGCTGTATATTTCTGACAGCCTAATTTTTTGTACTTGAAAAATGGCAAAAAGGAGGGAAAATTCGAAAGTTGGGTTGAGATGGGAAGTTGGTCCGAGTGGATCGAAGTCGCGACAGCTCAAGTGGTAGAGCAGCGGCGTATTTAGGCGAAGGTCGTGGGTTCAAATCCCGCTCGTGACACTGACTTTTTATCTCAACCAATACCTTACATAAAGATTAATACTTGTAAAAGGTTTTTTTTAACACCCGCACCCTGAAGGTTGATAACCGCGTACTTCGTATTTGAAATACTCTCGTAAATCCCTGAATGGGAATTACGTTGTGTTCGGATTATTGCATTATAATTTGAAGTTACGTAAATTTTAAGGCAAAAATTATCTTAGGCGAAACTTGAGCTTTTAGGGTATTCGCAAAAAATTATACATTTATTAGAATTAATTAAGGTTTTTAGTTGAGATAAAAAAGTCAATGGCACGAGCGGGATTCGAACCCACGATCTTAGGCTAGATACGACGCTGCTCTACCACTCTTGAGCTATTCCACTCGGACGCTAAATTCCCATCTCAACCCCACCTTTTGTTAATGATGTAGTTTAAGTTAGTGTCCGAGTGGATCGAGGTCACGATAGCTCAAGTGGTAGAGCAGCGGCGTATCTAGCCGAAATGGTGGGTTCGAATCCCGCTCGTGCCACTGACTTTTTTATCTCAACTAAAAACCTTAATTCATTGTAATATATTAATTAGTCAAGCGGACCACGAAATTAGTGAATTTATTAGAAGTTTGTGAACCCTGGGTAATATTGACTGAAATGGCTAGAGAAAAGGCGTTTTCTTTTGAACAATAACGGAATTAACATTTGCCGACATATACCTATGCAAAATTTGAACTTTTTATGATTAAAAAACATTAAAAAAAAAAAAGAATTTTATACTCTATAGTTGTTTGTTTTCTGTAATTGATCAAGCTTTGATGTGATATCTTGCTATCGGAGAAAATAAACACTTAACATATTTCATTGTGGTTAGTCAGAACGAATAGCCATTTATTGTATTGTAATAGGGTTGTAAATTCTGCTTGGTTGGTTGAGCATATCGAACTAAGTTTAAACTTTTCCTCCTTAATTATTTCACATGAAGTCACTCTACTATGGTAATAGATATCTGAACCAGGCCTGTCAGTCTGTAGGATTGATTAAGGCGAGAAGGAAACCATTTACCTTTACTCCTCATCCTGATATGAACAACATACACCATGAACAGCAAATAAGAGAAAACCTTGATTCTCCGCTTCCTCCTTATCCCGCTATTAAACCTTTTAAGCTATGTGAAGTAAATTTCTATATTCACAATTCCCCAAATAAAAAATCACCCGGACACTTACACTCCCATAATACTCCGAAACCTCTGACAGAAGGCCATAGTTTTTATTGATGATCATTTACAATTCAATTCAGACGAAGCTCTCACTTTCCCCTACTATGGAAGTATGCCAAAATCACTCTCACACCTAAACCCTTCTTCCAAGCCGCATATTATTTTACAGACTTGTCAGCCTTCTCCCAGTAATGTCCAAAGTCCTTGAAAGACTCTTTAAAATGGCTAATACCCATCCTAGATATACATAATGGCATTCATTTAGAACAATTGGTTTCCGTCCTCGTCATTCCACGATTCAGCAATGTTTCTTGGTTGTTGATACTATTTCCTCTGCTTTAGAGAACAGGAGAACTCGGGTGCATTTCTAGACATGTCCCAAGCTTTTGACAAGGACAAACTAAAACAGTTCCTATCCACTTCTTATTTCCAAATCGTAAAATCTAACCGAACGCTGCTTCAAGTGAGATTCGGCAACGAGTTTTCAGAAGTCAGACTGATCCAGCCGGCGTCCCACAACGGAACATCCTTGGTCTCATCCTATATAAAATATAGTGCTGATCTGCCGATACATCCCAACAACATCCTTACTGCGCAGACGTTACTGTTATTTTATCTCCCAAATCCAATCTACCCAAGACAACTCCAATATCTTGAGCTAATTGAAGAATGATGCAAAACGCGGAAAATGAAGCTCAACGAATGCACCCAAATTACGTTCACGCTAAACAGCCTTGCCCATGTCTATACGTCAACAGTGAAGAACTACCGACAATTACACAAAAATATTATATAAAATATTATTATTTTCCTTGGCAATTTACTTTTGTTTTTACTTTTTTAGACAAAGACTTTTTAGACTCATTAATATATAAAAATATATACAAATCAAGTTATATTACAAGTGGGTGAAATTTTTTGCCTATCAGTGTAGGTATCAGTGTGATAAAGAAGGAAAGGGAAAAATAAAATTAAGGTTTAATAAGTTTTTTGATTTATGATGTTGGCGTAGCTACGGCTGACTTTGCATGTATCTGATCTGTAATTAATGCGCACACCAATATGACACCACAAGAATAGCACCACACTTTATGTGAGTATGAAATACTTGGTTCAAAATTTATATTTACATCTTAAATTGTATTTTTTCCAATCAACATATGTTTTGTAATTTACTCAGGATCTGAAGATGAGCCGAATAAAGGTCGAAACGTCGGCAAAAAATGAAAAAGGTGTTTTTTTAAACTACCTCATTCTTGACCGCTCCTCACGACGTCAACAAATTACTATACTAGGTACGACAAAAAGATGTGACCTTTTTTAACCTTGTATTAGCATTTGTTATGTCGATAATGAGGTAATATATATAGTTTTCTCTACTTCAATTTAAGGACTTAAAAAATAACTTTTTTCTGAAAAATAAAAATTAAATGTGTAGAGATTAGTGACCGTTAATCGATAGTTATTCAGATATCGTGAGACCCGACCGCATCTCACGATATCTGAATAACTATAAAAATTAAAGTTAGGGTAAACACAATAGATACCAAAATCTATTGTAATCATAATGATTAAGGATTATTTGGAGATCGTGAGAGATTATAAACATTTTTCAAATTATACAAATACATGTAGGATGTGAAAAAATGAACGTCCCTTATTAGAGCTTTTCGGCGTGGTTCTTGAATGGGGCAGTCGAATAAGATATGGTCCCACGTTTGTTAATGTCTCCTTGGACAATCGCATTCCGAATCCTGTGTTATGTAGAATCTACAGAGATATTCTAGAGTTCGTCCATGGCCGCTTGTAAGTGGGGTAAGCATATGGTGGTGTTTCAGTTTTATTGCCATCCTCGATTCTACCGTTGGGAAGAGCTTTTTAGTTTGAAGACCTTTAGTATTACGCCTACAACGTTCTTCCCATTGGGCCAATGTCATTTTCGAGGCCATGGAGATGACGTAGCTTTTCGGCACTACTGTTTTTCGAGTTCAGCGTTTTCTGTGGCTTCCTCTGCTGCTGCGTCGGAATCATTACTTCGGATACCTGTGTGCGCTGGCACCTTTTCAATACTGATCTTCCATACCACGATATTATCAGGCTTCGTGTTTTGTACTTTTAAATCTTATCAATGGATATGCGGCTGTCTGTCATCAATATCACGTTTTTGTTCAATTTCTCAACATCCTGCTGGGCGAGACATTGAAGAAGTTCAGCTAGGTTGTTTGGGCTAGCCAGTCTAATTTGTATTATTTCTTGCAGGATGTCTTTTCCATTGATGACTAGGGCTGCTCCAACCTCGTTATTCTTTTGCTCCCAACGGTGTACATTACGATCGTCTTGCCATGATACTGACTCTGTTAGTCAGGTTCATGGCTTAGGGAAATAATGCTGTGACGTAGTCCTTTGGCCGTATTTAGTATTGTATGAAGGGCATGGTGTGATGAATAGTTGAGGCAGCTATCTGTGTTTCTTGAGTTTTGATTTCAATCTGTGATTAATGTGTTACACCAGACCGCATCTCACGATCTCCAAATAATTAATTAATTAATTAATGATCACTAAATACGACACAAAACGATTAAGTTTACAGTAGTTAGGGTGATTTAATAGTAACGTATTTGTTGAAATTTTCCGTATTCCATAATAATTTGTTAATTTAGGTTGAAGGTATTGTGTTAAGATGGTGGGGCGTGTCTCCATGGGTACGCGTTAAAAATAATCGTCAGACAGACAGAGGGGAGCGCTGGTGGTGGGAGCGGCCTGTGCAGGATTGGCCCAGCCGTCGGTCGGTCGGTCGTTGCATGCCTGTCGGCCCTGGCCCCCCCTGCAACACCAGTCAGTCACGAGCCGACCGTTCAATCCTGGAGACGATCACAGAAATGGACAGCGTGAGGCTGATCGATCTTATCCAGCCGCAGGAACCGCTTTGGAACCCAAAAAATCCATTCTACCACAACAGGGAAAAGAAAAATATGCTTTGGACATACATTGCCGCAGAAATGGGTTTCACACGTAAGTGATTCAATAGGTAGATTTTTTATTTCATGTGGATTGTAAGTTACCCAAAATGTTTAAAATGAATTTTCTCCATTGTGAAAATCACATAATTAGTAGGTAGAAAATACTAGAAAAATGATTATTTAGAAGTCGTGAGATATGGTCTGGTTTGATGTAAGTGTTAAGATGTGTCACGGTTGTGTGTCGTGTTGAGTGAACACTCCCAACACGGCACGAAACCATGACACATCTACACAGAAAACACACACTTTGAGCCCTGAAGATGATCTAAATAAAGACCGAAACGTTGCATGATAAAGAAAATGTTTTTCTAAGCCTACAATCACACCAGATAGTGTCTCACCATCTCTAAATAAAATTAATTAACGTCACTAAAAACTACACACTAAAAAAATAATCTGCGAATTGAAGAGTAGGTTAATTGTGTCAATCTGTGCACAAGAAAATCAGGCCTGAGTCATTTCAGGCCGTTTTTTACTGAAAGCAGAACAAATTTTTACTACTTGCAAGTATACTAGTATATGTAATAAAAAACGAGTTATTATTGTTAGGTTTTAAATGAAATGCAAAATTAACCGGTAGCCGAAAGGTGTTTTAAAAAAACCACACCATCCATCAACGGCTCGCTAAAAAATTGTCGTTTAGCTCTCTTTTGCTTCCGAACTACCGAAGATCGGTGGTAAGCCTAAAAAAATTTTATCCTCAAAAATCACAATTTCCACTCAAATTATGCGCAGGCGTATGCAAATACGTAAAATTCATACACAGGTATATCTCCGAAACCATTAGGGTCTTCTGGATTCTTATGAACTTTTCTGGGATATTGTTGTTTTCTAGATGATCCCCTACGCGCATGCGCATGCACAAAAAAATTCTTATTACATTTTCAGGGATTATTCGGGTTTCTTTCTAGATAATCCCATATGAATTAACATATGCGCATGCTCAAAATTTTTTCGGATTCTTATGAAATATTTAGGGATTATGGGAGTTTCTTTCTAGATGATCCCCTATGAATTAACATTTGCGCATGCGCATGCACAAAACAATTGTCGGATTCTTACGAAATTTTCAGGGATTATGCACATTGCTTTCTAGATGATCCCGTATGAATTTTACACCAATTGGATTAACTATGCGAATGCATTTAATTTATTTACAGTTGGATGTGCGGGCTATAAAGCTTTTCAGCATTCCAAGAGTAGAATTTCTAGATTTTACAACGAGCAATCAATATGGGTAATATCAAAGTTATACATAAAACTATCGGCCGATGCAACACAACAGTGTGGACAAAGGAAAATGTCAACCTTATTTGAATTGAGTTGGGGCAAGTTGCCCCGTTGAAGAAAGGACAGGCAGAAAAAAACTAAGTGACCGCGTAGCTTAAAGGACGCCTTAAAACCAGTGGAATATAATGGTTATGTGGAAGATGTATAGACCGAAACGCCATCTCTAAACAAATTAAACTACCACGGAATACCTGGTTTCTTTCCACCTTAATAAATTTACTACTAAGCTAGGCTTTCAATACCTATACCGTTGACTATACCAAAAATAAATACCTATAAAGTTGACTCGATCCTGGAATGATAAATACCATGACAGATAATTAGTATAAAATGCGATTAGAATAAAAATGAACAGTTTTTCACGGGGCGTCGGTGGCCGTAATGAGGTAAGGCGTTGACACGGCGTCTCTTCACTGTAAGGTAAAGGTCTCGGGTTCGAATCCAGCGGACCTAAATTCGAACCCAACTTACAAATGACTGGTTTAAAACGATGGTTCTACTCTTAAACCCTTACGCCATCTTACCTATTTCTCCTTTTATAAATGGATGTTCTATCAAAATCACCGGCACCCCGGTGGTTGATATATTTAAAAAAAAAAAGTATCGGCAATGAAATTCTTTACTTTTTGTGACTTTTATTATGATATCTATTTCAACTAATTTAAGCTTAATTTAACTAAGGAGCCTACCAGGTTGGTGAATCACCGATTTGAACCAATATATGTATTTTTTTAAATTTTACACTCCAAAATATCAGACACGTATACGCTACCTCTTGTGAATAGAACCTGGTTTCCCCAAAAAATTATGAAAATTGAATTTAAGCTTAAATTAACTAAGGAGCCTACCAGGTTGGTGAATCACCGATTTGAACCAATATATTTAATTTTTTAAATTTTACACTCCAATATATCAGACACGTATACGCTACTTCTTGTGAATAGAACCTGGTTTCCCCAAAAAATTTTGAAAGTTGAAATTGTTCTTATTTTTATATTTTTATTTCGCCTTTCTACTTGCTCAAATCAACTATGTGAATATATCATTTAACAGATTTTTTATGTAGATTGCAATAAATATATAGTAAAGCTATCAAAGTTGATAAATAACCAAAAACAACATATTGTTTAAGTAAACCAGGACATAAATTTTTTTATCGGAACATCTGATTGAAAAGGATTTTGACGTCATACAGACCATTTGAAAGAAAAGGAACATAGCTTTTTACAGACGTATAATATATAACAAAATTATTTTTCACTTTTTTTAAAAGGAAATAATAGTCCGATTTTAATGTTTGATACAGTTATAAAATGCACTTGACAATTTCTTTAAAACGAATTATCAACAATGAAAATTGGTTCAGTAGGTTTTTGGAAAAATGTTATAACATGTACCAGGACTGTCAATCCGGCAGAAAGGTCGTCACAATGATCAGTCAAAACATTAATTTTCACCGATTTCCACGAAAGTCGATATCTAAGGATTTTATAACTCTATAACCAAGAATCGGCCAACGAGGTCAAATTTTGACCATTTTCTGACCTACTTTGGATACAGTACAATTGTGAAAATTTGCAAAACGAGCAATACTTTTTAAATGATACCAAACTAGAATATTCTTTCGTAAAACATTCTTGCTGTTATGTTAACCAACAATGAAATTAATACACCAAAAATAATATTTTTTAATCTTTAAATAACGATTTATGCTCATTTAATTGCCATTTAATCCCCCCACCCCAGACACATTCTCTCTGGAGGTGCTAAAACTAAATTTCATATTAGGTTCACGAGGGGAAAAAAAAAAAAAAAAAAAAAAAAAAACGAGAAAAAATTATGACCTATTTTACAGTAAAATATGGTTTTTAGAAGTTTTTTTGATTACTGTTAACCTTTCATAGCCTTTACTATATTTTTATTGCAATTAAAAAAATGCTGTAAAATGATATATTCTCATAGTTGATTTGAGCAATTAGAAAGGCGAAATAAAAAATACTAAAAAAAACGGACAATTTCAACTTTAAATTTTTTTGGCTAAACCAGGCAGGCAACTTCCAAAATTCTTATTTTGATATATTGTATTTGTTGATACAGTCAGCCATTGGTTAGTATATTGGAATTTTTTAAATAACGGGTATTATGATGATACCAAATGAAATTAAAAAAAAATTGACATACATAAATAAATTGTTTGTTTATTGTAAATCTTATGTTAAACATAAGAAGCATAAAAGTTCTTTATATCTTTTTTTCTTACACGGACCATGGTTTATATACCATCGTCATACAATTTTTTTTCGTGAAACTAATATGGATTTTCATTTTAGCACCTCTACAGACCCCTAAATATAAATTTTTATTTGAATTTAAATTTATCAACTTTTTTGATCCTGAATATCTAACGATTTTTGAAAAGTCGTAATCGGAATATCCGATTGAATCGGCTAAAAGGATTTTAACGCCGAACCAGGCCATTTGAAAGAAGAAGAACGTAGGTAGCTTTAGAACGAAGTGAGACACATAACACATTAAAGTTAAACAGAATTATTCCTCGACTCCACACCATCATAAACCGAAAAAAAAGCTTATTATAAATCTTATGTTAAACGTAAGGAGCATAACTTCTTCATATCTTCTTTTCTTATACGGATCATGGTTTATGAATCCCTAGGCAACATCCAAATCCTTATTTTGGTATATTGTATTTGTTAATACGTACTGCATTATCCTTTGGCTTTGGTTCAATGTCAACAGATAGTCAGATAGTCATTGGTTATTACAATCGAATTTTATGATCATACCAAATGAAATTTTAAAAAAATTGACATGCATAAATAAATCTTTCTTTAAATTCTTATTTGTTTGTGTAGTTTTTCTTTTTATTTACTTTTTTATATTTATATTTTACAGATTCAGAGAGAGAGAGAGAGGAGGGGAAGAGANGAAAATTGACATGCATAAATAAATCTTTCTTTAAATTCTTATTTGTTTGTGTAGTTTTTCTTTTTATTTACTTTTTTATATTTATATTTTACAGATTGAGAGAGAGAGAGAGAGGAGGGGAAGAGAGAGAGAGAGAGAGAGAGAGAGAGAGAGAGAGAGAGTGAGTGAGAGAGAGAGAGAGAGAGACAGACCAAGCCTGAGAGAGTGAAAAAGAAAGAGCATTAAAGCCTAACGGTACCCAGTTGAGTAAGGATTTATTGCTTTCTCCATGAACGCTAAGTTTCCCGTTAATTTCCTTTCCCAGAGATTTTAAAATACCAGGCTTGGTTAAACAAAATAAAAATGATTAAAACTTTTACCCAAAATTTTATTACATTTATAACTAGAAGTGTGTGGGAATATGGAAAGTACATAAAATCTACTGAGAAACAAAAATTAACTACAAATTTATTACTTTTGATTATTGAAAAAGCAATGGAAGGCAAAGAAATCGGACGTTCGCAACCTAGAAAGAAAATTGTTTACAGATCGTTTCGACAGAAACTTCTTCATCCCACGGAAACTTTTCCTTATTTATCCATGCCTAATGTTGTGATTACTCCGAAACTATTTCTATACGCTTTGCAATTCCGCCAAATAAATTATTATCTGAAACGTAGGCGAATCGATTTAACCACGGTTGCCAGCTTCATAGTAAATTCGCCCTACATATGAAATATATATGATATAAATATAAATATGGGCATTAGGATTTTTTAATTTGTAAATTCCTAATTTACGTAAAAAAAATTTCAAATAACGCCCCTATCCCGTAAAAAAATCATTGCGCAATTAAAAAAATAACAGTTATAGCGTACAGTTTGTAAAAAATTGCTTGTTTTGTACATTTCATTATTAATTACAACAATTTGATTCTTGACTGTAGAAAAACGTCAGATTGCTTTTATTATAATAATATGTAATAAACATATAAATGTTTTACGGGCATTGTGATTTTTTAATTCGTAAATCCCCACATTTACGTACAAAAAATTTCGATTGGGGCCCCTATCCCGTAAAAAAAATCAATGCCGCAATTAGATTTTAAAATAATGAAAAAATAAGTTATAGCGAACAGTTTGTAAAAAATTGCTTGTTTTGTACATTCCATTATTAATTCCAACAATTTGATTCTTGACTGTAGAAAAACGTCAAATTGCTTTTATTATAATAATATGAAATATATATAATATGCATATAAATGTTTAACGGGCATTGTGATTTTTTAATTCGTAAATTCCTACATTTACGTACAAAAAATTTCGATGACTGTAGAAAAACGTCAAATTGCTTTTATTATAACAATTGAATTATTATCATCGTTTACACAACTGATCTTATGGGCACAAAGGAAGGCATTAGAGCGCATTTTAATTTTTGGAAGTCAATAAATTTTACAACTATTACTTTTTTACACTCACTAAGATTTTATCTCCTCGTCAAAATAAACCGAAGGGTGTGATTTCCCATCGACAACGACTCGCCATGTATTCAAGTTTATGGAAAGTGGCGGTATTGCTCATCGTCGCTCGAGATGGACTCCCAGAAATTTCCCGATCGTCCTCGAGTAACCACAAAAGGATTATTTGTTTTTCTTGTATAGAAATGTGTGGTGATTAGTGACCGTTAATCGATAATTATTCAGACATCGTGAGATGCGGTCTGGTCCTAAATGTATTTGTTAAATGTAAACAATGTTTGTAAATCCCAGGCCCTGAAGATGATCTCAATAAAGATCGAAACGTTGGCACGATAAAGAAAATGTTTTTCTGAAACCTACATCACACCAGACCGCATCTCACGATTTCAGAATAATCATTATTTGTTTTATTCGAGTTGTGGATCAGTTGAGTTAATTTCGACGAGGAGCTTGAGATTATATTGTATTTTTATTTTACTATGGCACGTGAAGTACAGGGTTGGTGCCCAGTGACAGTCCAAAATAAAAATAATGACATAATCTCCGTAAATAATGACAAGAACATGTACCATCAGAATTATAACAATTTTAACAACAATAATAACTGATCATTTCTTCAATCCTATATTATGTCCGTTTCCGCATGGGTAGTCTTTTTCTGTTATCCATCTATATTTTCAAGATTTACTTTGATTACGTGGCTGACAGCTCGACTTCCTATTAAATGTTTTGATTTCGCCCAAAAATTGATTAATATTTTCGGTTACAACTGTAAATTGGGGGACGGTTTTCGTTTGTTTGTTAGTTTTATATTAGTTTAAACAAAAATTGTTATAAAAGTTATTAAAAATCATCACACTTAAGTTTACTTTTACGTTGTTCCATACTGTGCATATCGTAAAAATGTCTTGTATACAACAAGATAAAGCGGAGATGATTCTGCTGTTGGGAAAAGTGGCCCGAAATTAGCACTAGGCTGAATTGCGCGTTAATGAGCTACCTCCAGAGACCTGTTAATTGATGTTATTTGAGGAAATTGTTTCTAAGTCTTTCAGTAACACGGACAATTAATTTACTAACATTTAACATGATAAATTGGTAAATGGTGTAAGAAATCAGAGAACATTTTGTTATTCTGAAAAAACAATGTTTGCAAACAATGAGAGAACGTTTGCACTCTTAGTTTCTCCGTTTCTACCCTGGAGTGTTAGACAAAAATGTTTGGGCTCTTGAGAAACTAGACAAAAATAATATTTTATATGTCTCAGAGCCCCCCCCCCACAAAAAAAAAGGAACAAAAGTTAAACTTACCCTGCAGCACATTGTACGTCCCAAATGGAAGAAAAAATACCATATAAACCATGGTCCCATTCTCAACCCTTTCTCAGATACTTAGCATTTTACTTTTTTTCAACTATCTATAGTTTTGGTATTGGTTCGATGTAAATAAATAAAACGGTATACCGCTAGAAAGCTTATTAAACGAAATGAGTAATTTTGACCGAAAAATCAACCCCCCCCCCTACAGAATCTTGGGCAGAAAAAAATGATCATTATAATTTTACCTATTGACCTTTTATACCGCTACTGAATCCTTGTGTAATAATCTTGTGATTTTAATTATTTTATTTTAAAGGTGAGGCGGTCAAAACGAAATGGTGCAGTCTGAGAGATTCGTTCAGGAGGGAGTTGAAAAAAAGGAGCGATCCGGATCACACGGGCCAAGGCTGGTCATTGTTTGAGAAAATGTCATTTTTGACGAACGTCAGCGGCATCCAGAAAGACTTTAACGACTACAGCTTCTCTCAACCGTCGATGAACAGCCATCAGTTCGGCGAGTACATCGCGGAACCCGAACCGTCGACGTCCGACCAACTTTCCATAGACGTAACCCAAGAGGAGCAAGACAACATACCGAAGGAAATGTACATGCCTCCGTACGGCACGTCGAACCTCTACAATAAGATGATGGTGACCAAGAGACTTCGGAAGGAGCAGAAGAAGGACGAGGACTACCACTTCCTTATGAGTCTGTTCAGCTCGTTGAAAAGGATACCCGCTCAAAGGAAACTAGAGGCCAGGATCAAAATGATGCGGGTCGTCTCGGAGATGCTGCAAGAAGCTCCGCCCAGACGGCAGAACGTTCCGCCTGCCAGCGAAACGGAAACGGACTTGCCTACATCAAATTTTTCCCAATCACCCATCGTTAAAGAAGAGTGCATGTTTATAAATAGTCCTTAAATAAAAGTTTGTGTAAATAGTCATGGCAACAGAAAAAGAGGCGTTCTCGCCATTATTTGCATCCTTAATGAAAGAAAGAATCTTTCACCATTTTGTTCATGAAGGAAAATTTCTTTAGCTTGTTTTGGTATAGAAAATGAAGAAGAATGATAATCGTCTTCGACTATTTCCTTTTTAAAAATATTTACTGGTGTTACCAACCATCCAGAGATTTTGTTTAGGTTTAATCCCTCCTGTTCCCCCTTTCATGAAATATTCAGTTTTTCTTTTCCGTTACGTTAGTTCCCCTCACGATTTACTCATTTTCATAAATATATGTATATAGAGAAGTTATACAACACATAAACATATGAAACATAGGTTGAGTTAATTTTAGACGCACAAAAGAGGAAAAAGGATTAGTTGCGTTCTGATGGGATTTGACTCACCTATGCTTTCTCTATGTAAAATCAAAGTGAGTCAGATTTCAACATAGGAAAAAGTGCGTTCTGTTTATGTTAATTTTGTTTTCTTCTGGTAAAAGTTCTACTATATTTCTCCTGATGTTTACCATTACAGTTCATCATTATTCTTCTAATTCAGAGATTTAGAATTTTATTATTAATTCTCTTCTCATTAAGTTTACAATAAATTAACTTCATTAGATTCAATGGTGAGTGTAAAATTGATTTTTATTAAACGAAAAGAAATTGATTAGTGTCTAAAAAATAATTTTATATTTTACATCGTTTTTAATTGCCTTTTATTGTGTCAATATTGTGTAATTTAGTTTGTTATAAAAACTGATTTTTATTAGAATTAAATGAATCACGAGAATGTTCTCAATAATTTGTTTGTTAAAAAAAATTTATTTAAAATTTATGAAAATATAAAAATCTAAAAAGAAAGGTCGGTCAAATTTAAGCGATTGCAAATAGAAAAACGACTGACAAATTACAAACATAAAAACAATGGAGGTTTTCATGAAATGGATTTTCTCCAATGGTGCGTCGAAATCTGACACACCTATGTTTGTAACATGGGGAAAGCACATGTACGTCAGATTTGAACGCAACTAAAGCTTTTTCTCTATGGTGCGTTTAAAACTGACTCACCATGTATATAATATGTATATACCTGGAGATAAAAAGACGTCTTCGACCGTGATGTCGATAGTGACTGAGGCGGGAAAGACAAGAGGACGAAGGAAAAAGTAGAGTAGTGAAGGGCAGTGTGACACATGGCGTGTCAGCCTAAGTTTTGTCTGTATATTTGTGTGAATAATAAAAGAACTTTTTAGTTTCGTTCATTACTTATTTTTCATTTTCCTCACCAAACTACAAAAACTGTTTGAACGATTCAATTTTAGCTTTACCACCTCTATACTGATGGATCAAAATAAAGCCAGAGAAGAGGGTGCAGTGTACACGATCCACAAAGCAACCGCAATATGTCAAACAATGCGATACAAGGTCGAAAGCAGCTAGGACGGATAATGACGAGCAATGTAAGGGTAATTACGATAAAAGTCTCTGAGTTCGGAAATAAACTTTGTTTCATTATCGGCCATCACAACCTCCAACAGGAATAAAACTAAAATGGAGAGAGCAACAGACTATGGAAAGACCATCCGATACTCATGGCTCCAAGAATCGTCATGAACAGGAGGTTTGAATATAACCAAAACTTCCGATGAACCTGGGTACCAAAAAAGAAGGGAAAGAGAGGGAAACAACTCTTTCAAAAATGGCACCATCCTTTGGTACACAGATGGATCTAGACCACAAGAAGGTATAGGGGCAGGAGTATTTTGACCTGGAACCAAATACTCAGAACCCACGGGAAAACACACTAGTATCTTCCAAGCAGAGGTTCACGCAATGGAAAGATGTACCCAACTCAACCTAAGTAAAGGGTTCAAAAACAAGAATATACCTATCATGCCAGATAGCCAAGCAGCCATCAAAGCACTAAGCTCAAATATCATTAGTTCAAGGATTTTGCTGAACTGCAAAACCAAACTAAATATACTAGGTACGCAAAATAAAGTCAGCCTCTGCTGGGTCCCAGGACACATGGAAGTAGAAGGCAACGAGAAAGCGGACACCCTTGCAAGAAAAGGGGCTGCTACACCGTTGAGGACCTGTACCCTTCTGTGACATAGGAACCCACACAATTAACGAGTATCTCAGACAGAAAGACAAAAAGAAAATGAGGGAACTTTGGAATTCACTCATTGGATACAGACAATCCAAGAATCTTCTAACCAATTTTGGAAGGAAAGGAATTACAGAATGTGCCAAGGGAAGCAGGAACAAACTGCGAATCCTAATAGGATTCTAATGAGATGGAGAATTGGTGTCCAAGAAGATCCAAGTCACGATAGCTCAGGTGGTAGAGCAGCGGCGTATTTAGCCGAAGGTCGCGGGTTCGAATCCCGCTCGTGACGCTGACTTTTTTACCTCAACCAAAACCTTATATAAAATTTCATCAGATCGTTCTCTGCTCCCCACACTTCAGCAGATCAGCCAACTTCAGTACGAGTTATTAAGGTTAAATGACGTGTATGTGGGCGATGCTATTGTCTGGCAGATCATAATCTTCAGTTAATCCGTTATTGTGTGAAGCCCTGTAAACCCGAGTAATTCGTTGAACAACTTTTTACAAAATGCACAGACAAATAAGCTTAGTAGTTCTTTGGTTTGTATGGCAATAAAAAACATTTCCAAACGCAGAGAACATGTTTCCAGGTTCTACAACGTTTTAGTGTTGTCGATAAAACAATAAAAAAAAATCCCTGGTCTGAAGTTTTTTTAAAATTTTATTACAATTCACTGTTTGGATTTTTTTACGTTAAACATGTTAAAGTCGTAATTGCTTCGTTTAACGAATTTTTCAGTAAGTGAAACCGTTGCATAACAGACCGGTCGTCTGTAGTCATTCAAAGAGAAAGTCTTTATGTGACTCAGAGGCCGGTCACAAACTCGACTCGGCCCTGGGCCTTGACTGATAACGATCCACACGCAAGAAACTCGGCTTAGCTCGACAGCAATTTGCTCTTATCCGTGGCCGTAAACCTTCTGGGGTGTTTACGGCTCGTGAAACATCTGCCTTTCCTGTCATGGGTGTTTTAAAATTTGGCTGGGACAAAAAGGAGGATCGAAAACCTGTTGGATCCAGGTTCTACATACCAAAGCCATATAGTGAAGGACGTCCAGGTTAACAACAAATGATAAAGGTTTGATTGGTTTTAGTAAATCGGTTCCACAAATTTGCTTTACACTTTTAGTTTACTTAAAAAGTATTTGGTTTTTAGAAATTTTTTGGTTATTGATAAACTTTGATACTTCAATCTACATTAAAAAAATGCTGTAAAATTACATATTCACATAGTTGATTTAAGCAAGCAGAACAGCGAAATAAAAATATTAAAAAACGGAAAATTTCAAATTTTGAAAAAGAAAAACAAAACTTGGCGAAAATAGGGCCTATTCACCTATTCACAATAAATGGCGGATACGTGCCCGATATTTGGAGGGTAGAATCACCAGAAAAAGTTCGGTCCAAATCCGTGACCCACCAACCTGGTCGTCCCCCTTGTGAGTCATACACGAATAGGACAACAGGCTTCGCCGGCGATAAATAAAGAACACCGGGCGTCTGGAGATGATTGAGCAGACCGGCATCCTCCTCACGTACGGCCAGGGCAAGTATACTAATTTTAGCCGGGCCCTAGCAACCAATCTGGCGTAAATTACGTGCCGTCCACGTTCTTCCCCTCAGAAGGCTGAAATGGAACGTTCCTTGGCTACGAGGAACGTTCCATTCAGCTTCTTAAAAAGAGACAGGCGTGACGTGACGACAGGAAATGAGCTCGGCGGAAAATAAAGTATACCATTCCGTTGTTGTTTTGCATTATGTCAAGGATGCAGATCACAGCAAAAGTAAAAATTTACTTTAAGTAAATAAGGACAAAATGCTTACTACTCGGCCATGTGACAACCCTAGCTGCTAGCTTAAGACTTGGGTTGGGTGTGAAGATAACCTTTAAGTAGTACAAAAAATAACGTAATCTAATCTGTAATATAAAGAAAAAAGCACACTTTAAAGGAGAACGCGTTAGCCTATCGGGGAGGATTCGATTCCTGGCATTGATTTTTCTTAGAAAATTTGAATTAACAATTTATACCATTATGAAATGGTGTAGAACCGAAGTATACGACACGGACGTTAAATGTGGAAAAGGTGGTACAAGCAGTGACAGATCATGAGAACATAAAGGTGATATCACATCAACCCCGCTATACATAGGAAGACAGAGGAAAAAATTGTGAGAATGAGCCATGAACTTAGATAACAAAATTATAAAATTTGATTGTACCTTATAAAACTTGTCTGCGATCTCTATCGATGTTTTGAAATCATCCGTTTATGAGGAGCACCCCAAGGAATTCGGAAAAACAAAACGAAATAAAAAAAATAACTGAACTTATAATTTTTTCTTTAAAAAATAAAAAATACGACTTATCAACTAGATCAAATCATAATAATAAACCTTTGGAATTAAAACATAAATTATTTTAAAAATGACCAAAGCGATCACTTACATATTTGTTGGTGCTGGAGCAGGAGACGCGCCCCAATGCCCTCTTTTTTTGTCTTCCTTGCTTATCATCTCTCCCCAACATTAGTCGGTGCGCTCCTGATCCTGACTCGTTGTTGCTGTTTTCGAACATGCATCACATGACAAAAACTGGCTTTTATCTCAGGACAATACGGTGAGCGAGCGCCAATTGGAATTATGTTATGTTTAGTGATCAGTCGCATTTCTGTCTATATAGTGATAGCAGGCGGCGAAGAGCCTTCTGAGAACAGGGGGTGTGTACAATGCTCCAATCCATGCTCTCTTCAATCCAGTCTTTCCTGTATACTCGGTCGCCATAAAAAGGACTATGAGGATCTTTAACGTCCGCATCTAGCCTATTCGGCCTTATCGGACGTTTTGATTCTCAAGATGAGAGCTGACGCACCTCCACATACGACAGAATGGTGCTACTGCTGCAGCATCGATGTAGAAGCAGCTCCCAAGACAATCTCGCTCCTCGCTTGCCCATTCTGAGTGGTCGGGTCTGCATTAAGCATCAGACCGTATGCCTCGCGCAAAGGGCTACCTAAGCCGAAATAGGTAAATAGGCCGGTCTCCCGCGCACTCTCTACATAGAGCAGGCCACTCTATCTCCCAGAGTATTGGGGCTTCTTTAGCGTAGAAACTACCCGATCCGCTTCAGCCGCGGTTTTGGTTAAAGTGGAATTGCTAACAACCCCCTCGAGGAGTACCGCCTACTGTAAAAGCCTCCATTCGAGCTCAGCCTACACCTACGTAACTACCCGCTCTCATCCGCCACTACTCACGCATTCGAGGGACTTTTCAGCATAATCATAGCGTTCTCAACGATTATATGCTGCCGTCCGATCCGACGTATCCAGTGAGGCCGGGTGTATAACGTTGGTCATACGCAAGTTTCGTGCGAAGGTCACAGGTAGAAGACAGCCTTCTCTCTAAGTTCCCGCCAGGGGTGTCGCCACGTGCCACTACGAATTCATTTCCATAGTAACTGAGACTGAATTTTGGAACATTTCTGTTACCCCATAGTACAGATGGTTATGCATCCTCCCCCGTATATGCAGACAGGATCTGGTACCCTAACCCTTGGGTGCCTCTAATAAGGCACCCTCCGCCAATGCCGACCCGAGTCCGGCACGAGCACAGGTTGTGCTTTAGAAAGGTTGCCACGCCCTCTGAGCTACACCTTTATTTTGCGCCCGGGCTCTCTTCAGTAGTTAGGAGGAAACGGTGTAATGGTCTGGGCTGGGATTTACATAGGAGGATGAACTGGGCTCCATATTGTCGAAGGCAACCTTACCGCAGTCTGTTAAGTCCAAGATATCATCGCGGTGTGCATCCGTCAAACCAGGGATCTGATTGGCAGGGATCATTGTTACTGGTTTTACGGTTGCTTTATAAATATCTTTTTTATATCGAACCTCCTTTTTACATAATTTCTTTCGTCATAATACGTGCATACCGAGACACTCATTTACTAAATAAATTATTGGCCATATTTGCCAAATAGCACAATATTATCATGATTTCCTTATTTATGGCACGATAATAAAGGATTTTTCCTAAGGTGTCAAAAAAACAGAAATAATAAAAGAGTAAAGTGACACACTTCGAAAGCAATTTAATTCACGGAAATATGCAAGAGCTGTGAGTCAGAACAAGCGTCAGGATCGATTGAGGTTTCA